ACACACACATACACACACACACACACACACACACAAACACACACTCACATTCACACTAACGGACTGTGATCATAATGATGTGCAAAGGCATGAGTAGGAGGGTTAGGCCTATACTTTACTTTTACCAACATTAAAAAAACAATCGGACACACTTTTTTTTCGGTTGCTTGACCCCTTCTATGATAAATGCAGTTTCTGAGATACATGTATTTGGATAGACAGAAATGCCTTTAACATCTAGCTCTCACTAGCAAATGAAAGCAAAAGATTCAAGGGTAGGGTAGAGCCAGAGAAACGTACTAGGAAAGCCTAAACAGATGCGTGACAGGGAAAGATCAGGATAATAATATTATAGCCTTTTTTTTAAAGCATCCGAACAGAGTAATGCATGGCGATAACGACTCCGAATAAACTTACCATTTTCATAGAGCCGATAGAACATTTTTTGTTTCTGACCTCATGGTCTAAGCTGCTCAAAACGGCCTAAAAAAAAAAGGTCAGACAGAACTTTGTAATTTTAAGGTAGCGAATTCTGTCGCAGATCTGATACTTGATGATGAAGATCCCTTCTAGAACTTAGCTTTAGCTCTCGCCGCTGCTGTCGGGGAGACTGGGGAAGGTGCCAGATGAGCCTCCCCAGCTACCACTTGCTCGTAAGAAGGCGGAGCAGGAATAAGCGATGCCCCAGGTTCCAATGGAAGAGCATAGATATTCATTTCTCCGCTTCCCTCAACCGAGGTCACAGCAGTGGAAAAAGAAGTAGAAGCTGTAGCGCGGTGAACGTTTTCGATATGGCTGACATGTTTTCTCTGAAGAGAGGGTCTTTTCTGAGGGATTACGTTCGCCTGGTCGAGGGTCGACTCGGTCCGGGCTGCCTGAAGCTCCGCGTTGGCTCTGAGGGATACCTCGTTCTGGCTGAAGTGTTTTCTCAACTTGGCCTGTCGTTTGTGCTTAGGTTCTGTGTACTCAGCGGCAGGCACCCCGGCGGCGGCTTTACCTTGGTCCGCGAATCTGGTCTTTTTCTTCACGCGCGTGTCTGTGTGAGTAATCTCGACGCTGATGTCGCTGTCTGAGTCTGATCCCTCGGAGCTAGAAGTGGACACAGAGGCGGATGAGGAGGTAGAAGGTTTTCGCTTCTCTGTAGGTAAAACTATGGGGGGAGGAGGAGGAGGAGGCGGGGCGTTGTCTTGTTCAGATTTTGTGTTCTTAACTTGAACGGTGAAAATACCCTTGTACTTATTACGGGGGTCGTCCGTGTCTTCTATCACAACTTCTGGGACTCCTCGTGTTTCTTGTGACGTACCGTTTTTCTTATTCTCTGGCTTTTCTTTTCTCAGTCTCTTCATTGCTAGAATGACCATCGTCGGCGCAACTATACTGTGGGAAACGCCTTTCTTCACCTCTACCTCAGTGTTAACCGTTGGGGTTGGTCCGTCAGCCCCCGTTTGTACTACCGGAGTAGGGACAGTCTTATCCGTGAGCCAAACTTTCCTCGCTCCAGCCGCTCCTGCTCCCTTCCCTTTAGCTGGTGGCGGGTTTCTGAGTGCGCCCTTGACCTTGGCCTTGCCTGCTTGGAAGACCTTGTCTCGCCAGTAGAACTGAATGGTGGCGCAGATGAGAAAAAGGCCGGCACAAACGGCCGACATGTAGAAACACCAGTCTAGTTTTATGTCTGTGAATTTCTCAGAAAAGTGATCGTAGTAATTTTTCCCGAAGATCGGGAGAGCCACGATGAGTAAACAAGCTGAAACGTAAACAAG